TTACATTCTTTAAGAAGATAAGAGGAACCTATTTATTTATTTATTATTTATTTGAACACATAAATATTGGTACAAACGGACAACAAATACATATGCATAACACAGGTCACTTGATTTGTGTGTGGACTATGATACTTCTCAGGCATCCAGACCTTGAGCCTGGCTCCAAGCCCTTCACCTGGAGGTTTGATCCACAAGTCGGTGTAGCAATGTAAAGAGATGCAGTCCCATTATAACCGGTGACCAACGATTGGTTTATACACCATTTGTTCCCTTAGGATCCTGGAGCCCATGTGTGCCATTGGTTTGGAACCAGGGTTTTTCAACCACACCAGGTGTATCCTCCATATCCAGCTTCCCGGCTAAAGAGCAGGACATTCACTTTTTGTTCTCTCAATTTCGTAAACAACACCCATGTTGCAGTGAGTAGGTATTCCGTGATAGTGGTTGTATGCACTTGGCCATGTGATAGCATTTGGAGAAAAACAGATAATTCTCCCTACTGCCTGTCGTACCAGGGCATTTGGAGGCTTAGAAGAACTGTGTATATTATATTCAATTAACTGACTGAAGTTCTTATCACGTAATATGAAATCTAGTTGGATTCCATTTACAAAGTGTAATATTATATCATTTGGGGAAAAAATGTAAACATTTATAATTATTTATTTTATTTTCAATTTATCAATAATAATATTATTATTATTATTTTATTAAGGATAGCTCACAAAATTAATTTAGTATCCATATTTGTGACAATGTATCACTTGGATTTTATTGAATAAACTGGTTACCATCCATTAATTTGTTTGTTTTTTTAAAAATCAATAGTGATGAACTATTTTCAAAGACATATCTCTTATTTGAATTAATTAATAGGAAGTTCCAATTTTTAGTAATCTCAATTGCAGTATCTAAGAATTACATCCAGTATTGTAAATAATTCAATAGAATTAATTTTAGAGAGGTTTTGTGGAGATTGTAGGAATTTAATGATTGAATTCATGAGTCAATCGACGGTAAATCATCATGGGAAACCTGAAAGTACTGGACCGCGGTTTTATCCTAGTATGGGACTACTTAGCATACTAGAATGAAACGGTCGTCTAGTACTTCCATGTTTTCTATGGTGATCTAGCTTCAATGGACTCATGAATTCAATTATTAAAGAATTGTTTTCCTTTTTTCTTTATTTATATAGTATATTAGTAAAGAAAACTGTCATCTTTCTTTTGCAAGAAGAAATTCTTAGGCTTAAGTGCTAATTTTCTGGCTTAATTCTATTGAAGTAATGTTTATGTGGGTAATCTTTTCGACATATGCAAAGATGTATCTTATGAGTAAGCTAATTAGGACAGCTAGTCTAAGAACATGAATTCCGTGAAGAATGAATTAAAAGGAAATGTTTATTATTTCTTCTCTTGTTTTCTGAGGAGATTGCACCAAATTATTCAAACAATTGATTCGTTAAATAACAAAGGTTGGAAAACAAATAACTTTATAAATAATTTCACATGACATTTATGCATACTGTGCACTGTGTACTGATCAACTGTAGTCCTAAACATCAATTGGAAGATTCAAGTAAACAGTATAAAGTGAATTTAAACTTCACCCCATTGCACAAGCAAGTGGCTATCAGCACTCAGTAGCTAAGTCGAAAACGCGATGGTATTTGAGAGGAATGGTATTGGTTTTGAGTCTCTGAGTGGACATCAATTCTGAGATGTAGGTACGTCCAGCTGACGAGTTTGAAATAGGACGAAAAGAGCTTCCTGGATTCCACTTCTAACCACTTTCCATCTTAACTTTATAAATTGATTAAAGGATAGTAATGTGCTAAGTGTAGAATTAATTCTTTCTTAGTGATAATATTTTAAGAAAACCATAGTGAAAACTAAAATAGTATATTTTGTTAAGGAAAATTAATTAACGACATTGATTAAACTAAGGAATACTATCAAATCAATCCAGAAAAAGTAATCGATTACAATCCCACAATGCGTACATCAATCAATTGTATTGTTTATCTAGCAATAGATGAAATGCGAGTTTATTGTTGATGGACTTATGACAAATATGAGTAATAATAATAATAATTATTATTAAAATAAAACTTTACTAAAAAACACTAATATGTGAATATGTGATTGAAAGAAAACTGAACTTATGTAAAGAAACACGAATAACTATGGTATTTCTTTGTAATTTATGCAGGATACGAAAGTTAATGCATTTAGTTTAGGTAGGACGTGAGTATTAGCGATAAGGTTAGATTGTTCATAGACTAATTCAAGAAGTTCTTTATTTAAATAAAATCAATATGTTTTATGCAAAATCTCAAGATCAGTCGTTAATGTTGTTTATCTTACCGTGTCATTTATCCAGTTCATCATTGTATATTATCTTTTTTATGTTCACTGTTTTGATATCTTGATAAATTCCATTTAGTACAACAATTCAAAGCTGATGAACAACTATTAAATTACTATGATATCTACAAAATTCTTCTCTCATCATAATCTAGTTTATGACACAACAGTTTATAGGAAATTATATCAGCAAGCTTTATTGTATTTTACCGAGATTTATTTCAGAAATATTTTACAGTAAGCCAACATCTCAAATACTTCTATTGTCAACTGTTACATTTCACTGATATTATTGATGTCGAATAACGATTTTGATGATCACCACTTATCCGAACATTGTGAGGATGAATAGAAAAATTTTCAGTACGGGGTTGTGGAGATTATTAAGTTTGTAATTGAGATCATGAGCCGATTGATGTGAGACCACCATTGAAAACCTGGTAGCACTGGATGGCCGTTTCGTCCTATCGTGGGACTTCTCAGCAGTGCGCATCGACGATCCCGCTGGAAGGATCTGTAAATAAGTAATATTAGGTAATTTATTTTCTAGTTACTAAATGACGGAAAAATTATGTGAAAGTTTGATGCAGATTAAAGTAATTCTAGACATTTTAATAAAAAAATTATTATCAAAAGGGGTTCATGTGGAGATTTTAGTAATTTCGATGGTTGAAATCATGAGTAAATTGAAGCTAGAACACCGTGGAAAACCTGGAAGCACTGGATGGCCGTTTCGTCTCAGTGTGGGACTCTTCAGCAGAGATCATCCACGATCCCGCCCCTAGTGAGATTCCAACCCATGACCTATCAATCTCACGCGCGAATGCTTAACATATAGATCACTGAACCAGCATCCAACGGTGTTAATGTCTAACTTTAACTAATCCACGAAATTGCGCCACCATACATCAATGTCTTCAGTGAGCTGATATCTCACAACAGACCTGGTTGAACTCCACAGGACACGGCTTCTCACTAGAACTCCATGAAATGCCTCTTGAAGTCAGTCTTTAGTGAGTAGATGTTTATTATTAGAAGGGGATTTTGTGGAGATTACAGAAATTTCACTAGTTGAGATCATGAGTCAATTGAAGCTGAACCACCATTTAAAACCCGGAAAAATTATTACCAATTAACAAATAAAAAGTATTCATGTGTGTGTGAGTTTAGAAAAAAGAGGCATAACAAAGTTTTTCTCTCATTGTACAATATGGATTGCCAATTAAATTCTTTAATAATTAAAACAAATCCAAATGAGATAAAAAAAGAAACAAATCTACCCAAATCATTCACTATCCATTATTTCATGCCATTTAAAATTGGTACTTTTTTTTTATCAAAGTTAATTGTAGCTAAACTGAGTAATGTATAGTTTTATTTTTTGTCCAGTTAATTATTGATACAGTAATTCTCGGTAGTACATTTGAATAACACATATTGTTACCATGACAATTATCATTATTATTATTACATTCATCATGATAGGATGAAATGATGATATTGAATATAAAATAGATCATCATCATATTTATCTTTTAAATTAGTATTAACTATCTCCCTGTAATATTACTATACATAAATATAAATACATCCAGATGTATACAGATTGTTGGGTATTTGATACCAATTTTATTAGTCAAGTTAATTAAAAAAGATTTTCATTGAAAACAATATATTTTGCTTACATTTATTCATTTATTGTAAGATTAAACATTATCTTAATTTGGCTTTGTCCTACTAGTTGAACCCATTTTCTGTCAGTTATATACACGTGTCTACTACAGAAAACATATCTGTATGAGGTAAGAAAAATATAGATGATCAATTAGAGTAAAAAATGTATCCATGCACATGTATAGATGGTGGCGTGAAATTAAGCTTCTTTTTAGGTTTATCTCATAATACTAATTATTATCAGTGATTAGAATGTATAGGTTCGTTATGACTTGTGATATGTATTATATTTATTTAAGTAGTATATATTATTAGTATCAGAAGGAGTTTTGTGGATATTATAATAATTTTAATGGTTAAGATCATGAGTCAATTGAAGCTAGATCTCTATGGATAACCTGGAAGCACTAGATGGCCGTATCGTTTTATTTTGGGACTCCTCAGAAGTACGCATCCACGATCCCACCTCACAAGATTCAAACCGAGGACCTATCAGTATATACTATTTGTATCAGAATAATTTACCTTCTGTCAATGATAAAATCATATAAGGATGATGAAAAAATTTAAGTAAATAATATAATTTGTTTCACACTGATAAGATATTACTTAACTGGTTATGTAATTTTATTTTGTGCTGTAACTTGACTTTACTGATATTGTAAAACTTGACTTGTGATTGATTAATTTCAATATTTCAGTATTAAGACGACACTTGATTAGTATGCAATTTATGGTTTAATTATAAAGAGTTAAATTGAGAATCAGAATTGATTATGTGGCTTAACTATAACATCAAGATATTGATTACTCAAAGATGATCAGAAAGAATTACATAAATAAAGCTCGAGAAGATATTTAGAATGATTACTTGTTCGAGATCATTTAGATGAAATAATTAACCTCCACTATAGGAACAGATCAGTTCTCAAAACTATGAACATCATTTTATAAATGCATCTGAAGGCTGATGCTAGCTACAGAATGCCCATAAACTTTGACAGGTAATTTATCTAGCCTATTCTTTGAATGGTTATACAGATTATACGTTAGGTCCTTTAAACAGTATCAGAGAAAAAAACGGTTACTTTAACAGCAGTAATAAGCATTCAAACTACGTTACTTTCTTACTGTTTATACTATTTGAAATAAACAGTGTTCGTCATGAAATAAAAGTACTAACAGTGAACAACAACAATGAACAACAAGCAGTCAAATTTGATATCGACAAATCATGGTTAAGAAGAAATAACTGACTTTATCTTGAAAAATATGATGATGACCCGTCCTAGAAAGAACTAGTAAACGCTTTACGATAACATCGCTTTTTTCAAAGAACTCAACACTAACAAAAAGTTCCAGGTCATTAAAACTAACTGTTAATCATTTATGAAAGAAAGTGTAATAGACTAATTCTTCTTGAAACATGTCCTGAGTATATTGCTTAGAAAGGCAATAAATGATTTGCGACTAAACTGTTTCACTCGGAAAACATAATATTTCTTTATATTGAGCTATAAATATTCCACCACAATCTTGAGGTGGCGAGACTATAATTTATGGACGAACCAATCAGATTAAGGATAACGCGTTTTGGATTTTGGCGCAAAATTCATTCATTCATTTGGCTAAATAGAGTTTTGGTATTATAACTGATGTCAGTTCCTGATAAAAAAGCGGTAAAGCCAATTCCTAACACTAACCATCAACTGTGAATCATAATCTTTATTCTTCAAACTGGTTTATCACAGTCATTTAGTTATAAGAAGTAGTTAGAAAACTCTCAAGGTCACTTTGGTATCGTTCAAAGGTCGTCGATAAATTATCATCCAACCCTAAACAACTTCTAGCTCCTCGTGAAGGAGCATAAACCGCTCACCAGCATTCTCTATCCAACTCTGTCCAAACCAATCCTTTCCATCTCTTTCCAGTTCTTATTCATCCTTTCATACCCGCTTCTATTTCCCGACTTAATGTGTTCTTTGGCCTTCCTCTTTTCCGCTTCCCTTCACGATTCCAAGTTAGCGCTTGCCTCCTTATGCAGTTTGATTATTTCCTCAATGTATGTCCTATCTATTTCCATCGTATTTTCTTAATTTCTTCTTCAGCTGGAAGCTGGTTGGTTCTCTCCCACAAAAAGCTGTTGCTGTTGGTATCCGGCAAATGGATGTTGAGTATCTTGAGTAGACAGCTATTAATAAATACTTGTACCTTCTTGATGGTGGTTGTTGTAGTTCTCCAAGTTTCAGCACCGTACAGTAGAACTGCCTTTACGTTCGTATTGAAGAGTGTGACTTTGATATTGGTTGAAAGTTATTTTGAGTTCCATATGTTCTTCGATGGAAGGAATGCTGTTCTTGATTGCCAATCCTCGCCTTTACGTCTGCATCTGAACCTCCTTATTTATCGACGATGCTTCGCAGGACTGTGAAGGATTCCATATCTTCCAGAGTTTCGCCATCAAAAGTGATTGCATTGCTGTTCTCTGTGTTGTATTTGAGGACCTTGGTTTTCCCTTTGTGTATGTTGAGGCCTACTGATGCAGAGACTGCTGCTATGTTGGCTGTCTTTGTCTGCATTTGTTCGTGTGTATGGGATAGGAGGGCTAGATCATCTGCGAAGTCTGAATCGTCTAATTGGTTCTGAGCCGTCCATTGTATTCCGTGTTTTCCCTCACATGTCGAGGTCTTCATAATCCATTCGACCACCAGAAGAAAGAGGAAGGGAGAGAGTAAACAGTCTTGTTTGACTCCGGTCCTTACTTGGAATGCATCTGTCAGCTGTCCTGCATGCACTACTTTGCACTGTAGTCCATCGTATGAGTTCCGGATAATGTTAACAATCTTCTCAGGAACTCCATAGTGTCGAAGAAGTTTCCATAATGTTCTCCTATCTACACTGTCAAACGCCTTCTCAAAGTCAATGAAGTTGATGTAGAGTGACGAGTTCCACTCAATTGATTGTTCGACGATGAACCGTAGTGTCGTAATTTGGTCTGTGCACGACCGGTCCTTACGGAATCCAGCTTGTTGATCTCGAAGTTGAGCGTTACTGTGTGTTTCATTCTGTTTAGTAACACTCTGTTAAAGACTTTTCCTGGTACTGACAGTAGTGTAATGCTTCTGTAATTTCCACACTTGCTCAGATCTCCTTTCTTTGGAATCTTGGTGGGATAGGACATACATTACCGAAATCACCAACCTGCATCAAGAGGCAAACTCTAACTTGGAATCGTGAAGGGAAGCGGAAAAGAGAAAGGCCAAAGAACACAATAAGTCGGGAAATACAAGCAGATAGGAAAAGGATGAATAAGAACTGGAAAGATTTGGAAAGGATTGGTTTGGACAGGGTTGGATGGAGAGTGTTGGTGAGCGGCCTATGCTCATCCACAAGGAGTAACTGGAGTAAGTAAGTAACCCTCGAGGTCTCTTATTCATTGAATTAACTGATAAATACTCTAGTCCCTATGTTTTTAAAAATAAAGATAAAGAAATTTCTTTTTAATTTCAATGACCTCATAAAACATCAAAATACATTAAAAAAACGTATTAACATTTTAGTGAATAAAACAATACTATTTACAGGATTTAATAAAAAAAGAATTCAAATTAAACCAGCCCATCACCATCATCACCATCATCATCCAAAAAATCATCATCATCATCATCCCAATCATCATCATCATCATCATCATCCCAATCATCATCATCATCATCATCCCAATCATCATCATCATCATCATCCCAATCATCATCATCATCATCATCATCATCATCATCATCATCATCATCATCATCATCATCATCATCATCATCATCATCATCATCATCATCATCATCATCATCATCATCATCATCATCATCATCATCATCATCATCATCATCATCATCATCATCATCATCATCATCATCATCATCATCATCATCATCATCATCATCATCATCAGTTTCTTTCTTTCTTATCTATTAATACTTTACATATTTAATATAAATCTTTACAAAACAATGAAGTAATTAAATGACAAAATAAAATTGGAACAGATTAAAATCAAACAATAAACGATTAATTATTTAAGTTAATTTTTCTTTTTTTTTAAAAAAATAATTTAAATGAAATTTATTTGTTCAATTTTGGCTTCCATCCTTTTTTCTTTTTTTCTTTTTTCCTTTCTTTCTTTCTTTTAAATGAATAAAAATAAAATCAAGTTTTATTTTAATAAAATTAAATGAATATCACTATAAACTATTATTCAATTTTCATGGTGTGACATTCAATAAATACATTAAATGAAATTGAATGTTTCAATGGAAGTGTTTAAATTTCATTTAATAATTATTCAATATTTGAAAAGATAATTATTTATCTTTTATTATTATTTGTTTTTGTATATTAACGTCCTCCTATATGTTTTTTTTAAAAAAAATTATTTATTAAAGAATAATTAGACTGTTGACAGCTCCCAAATACTCTGGTATGGCTGAGGGTGGAGAGAGTAAGTTGTTCCACTCCAAATGCTCTCACATGGCCACATGTTTATAACCACTACCATGGATGTACTACTTTTTATCTTCTTGAGGAGGGGGTGCGGTGGAGTAGTCAAATAATACAACCCTAATATATAATATATGTCGAAATGACTACAGAATTAGTTAGTGTCAAATGATCCGACCAACTTCGGAGGTAGAAAAACATATTCAGCAGTTGAGGAACATCTAACTGAAACGGATCACAGAGCTGACATAAATACAGCTTTTAAATCATTATACAGAACTTTTCAAGATAAATCTCTTAGGTTTGTAGATGCCTCGGCTACGGGAAAATTTGAACTTCCTTTAGTTGTCCAAAAAAAATTTGTCGTAACCTTGACACTGTCCTGGTAAGCATTAAGCCATTTTACGGCCTAGCGTGACGTGGTAATCTCTTTATTTTCATATTATTTTTTCTCCACTTTATTTCTGATTGTTACTTTATGTTTATTCAAACTGTTATTTGATTATAATTAGAGAGGAGTTTTGTGGATATTATAGTAATTTAGTAGATAAATTACCGAGTCAACTGAATATAGATCGTGGATGTGCACTGCTGAGGAGTCTCATACTAGGATAATACAGCCGTCCAGTATTTTTAGGTCTTGCATAATGTTCTAGCTTCAGTCGACTTATGAATTCATCTCATAAACTGTTATTTGATTGACATTTATTATTTTTTACGTATAAAAATATGCTGACGGTTATGTTTTCATATTTCCTCACGGAACTAGTACTTTAACAAATATTTTCTTATATATACGATTGTATAGCTTGATAGTAAATTCGTTGAAAAGAGATCCCTTCACTGAAACTCGTGTTTTTAATTTTTAATGTTTAAATGGGAATTATCCGTCATAATATATTATTAATTAGTGATCATAATGATTCCTTCTTTTATAAAGAAAAACATACTTTGTACAAGATAAGAGTGATAAGTGTTTACATCATTTACTTACTTACGCCTGTTACTCCCAATGGAGCATAGGCCGACGACCAGCATTCTCCAAACCACTCTGTCCTTGAACATCTTTTCTATCATGTCTTTCTCCATTTATTGGAGTAATGTGTTCGTCGGTCTTCCTCTTCTCCTCCTCTATCGGCCCTGAGGATTCCATGTGAGGGCTTGCTTTGTGACGCAGTTGGGTGCATTCATAAATTAATAGATCAGCTCCAGTAGGAAGTTTAGTACGTCCGATTAAGTAGTTTGTGATTTAGTTCGAAAGTTAAACTAAATTGTTTTTGTTTTTGTGAACATATCAGGGTATACAGGTGCGAGCTATGTAATTGTAAATCTAGGTAACATTGAACCAGTGATTAAGTCGGGTAAACATTCGCCTCATGGCCAAAATGTTCGGGGTCAGATCTCTGATTTGTTCTTTGGTCCATAATCCTTAGAAGTCATATAACAAGGTAAAGCTGTTGATTAACGCCTTGACGTCTTGAATATTCCAGACGTATCATCCATCTATATCGAGTATGATCCATAAATTAATCCCGTCTCCACAAACGATTACTAAATCTTTGTCTATTTAATGCAACTACTGAATTATTATTAAGTAGGACTTTCTGGAATATGTAAATAGTATGTTTTTTCGAATGATATGTATGAATCGAAAGAAAGCTCTGAATTTTGATTTCATTCAAGTATACATTAGTTTCGTTGGTTGCAATAACCTACACGCTTTCTGACGGATTACAAATCATAATTCATACAATTTATTCCATTACGAAATTATTAAATTAATAAATTATAGTAAAATGAATTTCTGTGCCGATTAATTATACTGTAAAAAAATTTCAGAAAGTAATCAAAATGATATTAAAACAGGTTTCTTCAGACATTGTTGGTGTAATGAACTTTTCCTTTTATAGTTGAGTGATAACTAACAATGTTAGTTCACTCTAAGCTATTAATACAAGAATCGAGTTTTAGTGACTTGATTAAATGTTCATTGAAATTTGCGTGTTTTACTTGATTGACTTGGGTCAAATAGCAATGGTTTGAATATTTTTTCTGGTTAGTGTTTTTTACCGAGTTACTTTTCTTCGGGATAGAGTTGCTAACCCCATGCTCAACCCTCCTCCTTTATCCGGGCCTGCGACCGGCAGTAGCCCCCGGAGAGAATCCAGGCGTAGTTAGTCAGATATCAACAGTTGCAATTTTTATTACAAATAAAATGATCTTACTTCAAAGTTCATTGATATTAGTCAATATACGCTCACTAGTGATGGTTTCCAAGAGGTATTTCCTGGATTTCTCTTGAGAAAAAGTGATCAGTGTAGTTCAACCAGGTTTGTTGGGAAATAGTAACTCATTGAAGATAATGGTGGATGTGTGGTTCAAATTCGTGGATTAGTTGAAAATAGCGATTAACACCGTTGAATACAGGCTGACTCAGAGGTCTAGTGATTGAGCAATCATGAACGATACTGATATGTCTTGTGTTGAAATCTCTTGAGTTGGGATGGTGGATGCGTACTGCTGAGGCGCCCAAAATAGGACAAAACAGCAGTCCAGTGCTTTCATTTTTCTATGGTGGTCTAGTTTCAATTGACGCACGATCTCAACTATTATAAAAAAATACATTAATTAGTTAAGTAGTTGGTAACTTTTCTGAAATATGAACTGATTTTTTTAACGTTCTTTTATTATTATTAATCGTTTACTGCTTTGTAGGATTAGCATTCTCTTTATTCTAAACCTATTTTCGGTGCTTGTATGCAAGATTTAGGACTTCTATTCTTTACTAAATAAGTAAGAAGCAATCTAAACTTTGAATTATTAATCTTTATTATCACACTTTATCGGCATTTTCATTTAAAATACAATGCATATAGTAGTGTATTGTTTAAAAAATATAATACTATGAACCCAAACATTCGATTACACTTCTGAAAACTGACGGTCAACTCGAAGTTAATTGTTTTTGCAGGAACTGTTAACGTGATAATTTAATGTGTCAACAGTTCAACTTCATAATAACTTAAAACATCATTGACTTTTACTTAGAAATCTACAGTAGAACAATCATGGTGAAAGTCATTGTAACCAACAAATTTTGAAATTACTTCTCTGAATTTTGTACCATAAAGCTGTATTTGTGTTAAGTTTCAGACTCAGGATAGGAGATTATAAGTTAGGGGAAATACTCTCTAATTAACCTCTTTTTTTTAATGTGAGCAACAATAGCGCAAATAAGGTAACATTACTAAACGGTACTTACTAACTCTTGTTACGCCTAATGGAGCATAGGCCGCCGACCAGCATTCTCCAAACCACTCTGTCCTGGAACTTCCTTTATAGTACTATCCAATTGTTGTTCATTTTTCTCATTTCCGTCTCCATTTCTTACCGTAATGTGTTTTTTGGTCTACCTCTTCTCCTCCATTGGCCTTGAGGATCCCATGTGAGAGCTTGCCTTGAACATAGTTGTGTGCTTTCCTCAATGTGTGTCATATCCACTTCCAGCGCTTCTTCCTGATTTCTACCTCCGTTGGGATCTGGTTTGTAATGATGAATAAAACTCATATTGATTAAAGCAATGGAATATTGAATTTTTCTTCCCATCATATCATTGACATTTGTATTGGTAGGGTAATTTTTTAAAACTTGAGAGTACGTTATTCATGAGACACTGCTCGATATGGACTAATATATCATTTACTGTTAGACTACTGATTTGTTGATCAGTAACCTAAATTTTAGTAGTCAAATTATACACAATTGACTAGTCCTTAAATTTCACTGGTTGAAATAATAAGTCACTGTAGTTAGAACACCATGGAAAACCTAGAAGCACTGGACAGCCGTTTCGTCCTAGTATGGGACTCCTCGGCAGTGCGCACCTACGATCGTGGCCCTCTTGAGATTCGAACCCGGGATCTATCAGTCTTAACCAACTAGACCACCAAGCCGCAATCCAATGGTCTTAATGTCTAACTTCACCTAATCCACGTAATTGAGCGACACATCCACCATTGTCATCAGTGAGTTACTATCTCACAACTGACCTTTTTGAACTCTACTGGTTACTGCTTCTCACCAGAACTTCAGGAAATGCCTCTTGAAGTCAGTCACTGGTGGGTAGCTGATTATTATCAGAAGGGGTTTTGTGGAGATTGTAGTAATTTCAATAGTTGAAATCATGAGCCAATTAAAGCTGAACCACCATGGAAAACCTGGAAGCACTTGACGGCCGTTTCGTTCCAGTAACCATATTTTCCTTCAGAACATGAACTTTTTCACTTTATATTCCTTAGATCAATAGAACTCTAAATCTTTCGAAAGTATATACTATTATGTAGTCTTAATGTAATACATTGTCTAATAGATATATTTCGTATTCTTTAGCATTCTGTACGTGCAACATAATTTAATGGTCGTCTCTTACACAGAATACGTATATAATTATGGTAAAAAAAACCGAAACAAGTAAATAT